TTCCTGAAGCTTCTCCACTGGTCAGAAATTTGACCAGCATACAGAAGTTATTTAAAGCACTGTAGGTTGCTAAAGTGCTGTAAAACACAGAGCTTCAAATTTAATACCCCATTTAACAAGAATTAATTTAAAACACTGTACCCATTTTTAAAGTGCTGTAAAGTTGTGCACTTCTGTTAAGTCATGGCAATAAAGTGCTTTAAATGGCACAAAAGCAACTTCTGTACACACCCATAATATGTTTAGCCACCACTAGGACATAGACAGAGATGTGCAAAACTGTGTCAAGAGGAGAACTTTTGCTCAGTGTTACTACATTTGGGTATATCGTCACTGCAGAGATAGCCACAGCTTCTAATTAATAAGAATAAGCCATCTCTCCTCCATGCACAAAAGCCTCTCACCCCAATTTAGCAGTGTTCTCATCTTGAGCTAGGCTTGTTGGGGATATAGACTAAAGTAAGACACAGCAGTAAGGAGAGTTGAGTGTTGTTTTCCACTGCATACCAAGAACTCCCCCATGTGCTCAGAAGGAAAGGCAAATTCCCTCACAGTTTACTGGGAAAATTCAGATTACCACAACACAGTGAACCATGGGATGTCCTGCCAGAAATTCCAGCACCACACCTAGGAGATTACACCTGCAGGAGTGAGAACAGTCTCTGGCTGTTCACCCTGAGCTAAACTACCATGGTTGCTAGTCACACAGGCTGCCCTAAGACAGATGTCTTCAAATCAGTTCATTCTGTGTATCTTGGCAAGTGCTAGGGGAACAGCTCTTTTTCAATCCAGGGAGTAGCTAAAGAGCTGTTTGTGCAGTGCAAAGAAACTGATGCTTTCTCAGCAGGAAGGGAAGAGGAACCATATACAGTAAAAGCTGTTATCCGACACTTTACCATCCAGAATGCTCTATTAACCGGCATCTGTCATAGACAGCATCTGTGGTTTATGGCAGTGGATTGACGCAATTATGCAAAACATGAAGTCCCACTGTGGCCGAGTCCCACTTCTTCCTCAAGAACTATGGCCCAGGGCAGAGCAGCCTGCACAGGGCCCCCCTCCTTGTCCCCCGGCACACTGATGCCAGGCAGAGACATCTCCAACCCACTCAGCTAGAGATAAGCTCTCAGATAACTGGCATATTTGATTAACTGGTACTCCCCATTTCCCATGGATGCCAGATAACAGAGCTTTTACTGTAGCAGCAAAACCTGTGGAACCAGCTTCCCTGTCGGATGCAGGGAGTCCCCACAGAGCTCAGCTTTGTGCATCACAGTATACCCCATCTCCAAACACCTGATGAGCACCCCTTGTGTTGGAAACCATGTTGGTGCCTGAGGACCCTCTACAGCCACACAGCAAGGCAAAGATACAAATTCTAACAGAAAGTATTGAGGTCCAGGAGGGAACATATGCCAACTCCCTTTTCTGTAATTGAAGGTCTGTCAGCCACACTTTTTATGATAGTAAAAATGATGATCTGAGTTAGTCTTCACAAAAAAAATTGTACTAATCCCCATGAAATAATAATGTACTAATCCCCACGGAGAAAAGCACATATAATTGTTTTTAGATTTTAGACATGTAGCAAATATAGAGGTGCAAAGACCTTCCACACTTCCATATCATGTAGTTAGCTTTCTTCTAAATTAGAGCTGGTGTCGATCCATAGTACCTAGACAAGGCTGCTGCCATCCACAAATAACATCTTACTGATATCACAGGACTATGCAGGTGTCCCTAGTACCTTCAGAAGCACAGCAAGACTCTTTTTCCCTGGATGGGCCTGGAGCATTTAGCAGATGGCTCTTGCAGACATTTCAGTTTATATCTCAAAGGTTAGGAACAGAAGTTACACATAAACTGGTTTAAGTGATCAGAAACTGGTTTAAACCTGCAAAAGAACAGAAGTTCAGTGCACATAAACCGATTTCAAAATGGCCAAAACAGGTTTAAGATGAACCTGGTCAAATGTAGTATCAGACTTAGCTGATTCAGGTCAAACCAGGATCTGGAGGAACGTCTGTTCACCAGAGCATGCCAAGGGATGACAAGATCGAATGGTCACAAACTCCTCCGTGACCATTTCAGGCTGGATATAAGGAAAAACTTTTTTACTGTCCGAGCCCCCCAAGGTTTGGAATAGACTGCTGCCAGAGGTGGTTCAAGCACCTACTTTGAATGCCTTCAAGAGACATTTGGATGTTTATCTTGCTGGGATCCTATGACCTCTGCTGACTTCCTGCCCCTGGGGCAGGGGGCTGGACTCGAAGATCTTCCGAGGTCCCTTCCAGCCCTATTGTCTATGAAAGCTATGAAACCAGTTTATGGAACTTCTGTCCCAGACCCCTTCTTGGTTCAAGTTAAATCAGAGTCCCCCAGCATCCCAGTATGCATTACAGCCCTGGGCTGGGCTCTGCTGTCTGTTTGAGCAGAGTAGGGCTGGCCCTACTCCTTAGCCCTCTGCTCCCTAGCCTGAGCAGTGACAGCTGGCTGACAAGGAGGTGAGGGTGAGAAACCTGATTGGCACAGCCTGGTCTGCCTAGTTGGGGGCAGAGAAGCCAGACTTTTCCCTGCTAGAGTGGAGGAGGTGCATGTGCATGGACATGGGCTAGCAGTCTTAGGGGAAGGGAAGGGGAAAAAACCTCCCTGCCTCCCCTCTCCCACTGACATAGGGACTCCAGGCTGGGTCTGCCCACCTTTCCATGCTGCTGGCTGCTCACGCAGAAAGGGGTGTGGCCAGAACCAGCTCAGGCAGCATCTCAGGCAAAACAGGGGGGGAATGGGGATTGAATCCCCTATCTCCCTTTTGTCCCACCAGCATGGGGATGCCAGGCTGGGTCTGCCCGGCTTTCCACCCTGCTGGATGCTTGCACAGCAGGGGGCATGGCCAGAGCCCACGCGAGCAGTAGCCTCAGGCAAAGGGGTGGAGGGAAGGGCATTAAATCCCCCAACTTCCCTCTCTCCCACTGGCATGGGGATCCCAGCTGGGGTCTGTCTGGATTTCTACCCTGCTGGCCACTTGTGAAGCAGGGGATGTGGCCACAGTTTGACCACACAGCAGCCTCAGGTGAAGTGGGGGCAGGGAGGGGGATTAAACCCCCCTGCCTCTCTCTACAAGGTATAGGCACAGGGACCCCAGCCTGGGTCTGCCTGGCTTTCACCCTGCTCATCGCTCATGCTATGGGGGGGTATGGCAAGAGCCTGCCAGGGCAGCAGCCTCAGGCAAAGTGGGGGAGGGAGGAGGATTAATTCCCCCTTCTCCCCTCTCTCCCACTCATACAAGGACCTCAGCTGGGTTCTGTCTGACTTTCCACCCTGCTAGCTACTTGCACAGCAGGGACCATGGCCAGAGCTGGCCTGGGCAGTACCTCATTACTGCTCCCTAATCCCCTCTCCCATCTGGCAGGGGGTTGTTCAGGAATTACCCATCTGCCGATGACATGATATAAATATGTTGCATCACCTGGCACTTGCTGGTTCCCCAGGATGGAAGCTGGGAGCAGCTTGTTGGGACATGAAGTGTCCCAACCCCGTGCCCTGGGGTTCTGTTCCAAACAGATCTCTCTGCTGCTCAGGCAGCTGCTTGTCTGTGCCAGCTTTTTTAGTGCAGCCAGGAGCCTTGGGGCTGGCAGGGACTCACTTTGAAAAGACAGCACTGGCCCCTACCAGCCCCAAGTCTCCTGGCTGCACAAAAAAAAGCTGGCAGAGACAGGCAACTACCTGAGAAGGATCTGTTTGGAGCAGAACCTCAGGGCACAGAGTACCTTTGTGTCCCAGCAAGCCACTCCCAACTTCCGTCCTAGCTAGCCAGCAAGCGCCAGGTGCTACAACACACTTATAGCGTATCATTAGCAGATGGGTAATTCCTGAATGACCCCCTGTGAGATGGGATAGGGGATTAGGGAGCAGTAATGAAGTGCTGCCCAGGAAGGATCTGGCCACGCACCCCACTGTATAAGTGGTCAGCAGGGTGGAAAGCTGGGCAGACCCTGGTTGGAGTCCCTGGGCCAACGGTACAGGAGGGAAATGAGGGAGTTAATCCCCCACCCTTCCCCACTTTTCTTGAGGCTGGTGCCTGGGGTCTCCAGGACAAACCTGGGAGATGCTGCTTCCTCTTTTCCCCTCCAGGTATACCCTGGCTGGGGTCCCTGCAGGCCAGGGTGGGAGTTTAAACCCCTCCATAATCATACTCGGTGGCCTGCCAGTGCCTGACCACCGACCCCTCCCTCCCCCCAGTCAGCTTCCCCCCAGCTGTGTGGCTGCCCCAAAAGGGAAGGGAGGACTCGTCCTAGTGCCCCCCAGCTTCTAGCCTGAGCCACTGCTAGCATGTGCCTGCAATTCCAGAATCAAAAGTGAATGTCTATTTACTTGCAAATCAGTTCAGTCTATGCAAGTTAGAACAGCTTGCAAAGGTTAAATCAATTTAGGCTCGGGCATTTTGAATGCCTGTACTTAGCCAAACAGAAAGTTTTTTAAAAATATATTAACAAGGGACCCAGCAAGTCTAGGTTTAGAGGTTTGATCCTGAAATGTGCTGAGTGCCCTAAAAGAGTAGCTGATTATGAGAACAGAGCATTCAGCTATTCTTGGGAAACATGCTGTATTTTGCAGGATCAGCCCCTGCAAGATCAGCCCCCAGAGTTCCCTGTTTTTCTCTGCTGGCAGTTACTGGGGAAAATACTGTAGGTAACTAGAGGAAACGTTTTAAGAAACAAGAGTTTGGAGCATACAGCACAGAATCACAGAAGCCTCTGTGAAAAAACACATCTGAAGTTTAGTTCCCATAACTTTCAAATGCCTGCACTGGCAACATCAGCCTTATCAAGACTTCTCCAGTGTTTTGATTCAGTCAGACTGCCATAGGAGGGAAGTACTGAAAGCATATGCTGTACAAATACTTTAATTAGGGCTTGTCCTTGCTGGAGGCAATGGAGTGTTGATGGTCTGAGCCACTCCTCTAACGTCAATGAACCAGCTCACTGCCGATGTCACAGGGCCTTCTGTATTCAGACATGATTGGCTGTGTGGAGCTTGCAGGGGCTGGCTTCACTGTAAGGTGAGTGTGCAAGGAAGCAGCTGTGTGGAGGTGTGCAGTCAGAGTGCAGCAGACACAGACCGTGAGGCTTCGCTCAGCCTGATGAGTTCTCATCTGTCCTAAGTAAGTAACCACCCCAGAAACAGGCTTGTGGAATTTGTGCCAGGATTCCTGCAGGAGGGGTGGAAGCTGCAGCATCCAGAGAGTGGGCTTCTTTTTCTTTTTTTTAAGAGCTGCAAGTGGGATCAGTGTACCTGAAACTGATATGCCAACTGAAAGCTCTCATGCCGTGAGAATGCATGCCATCTCGGACTTTCATTCCTCTTTGACAGTGCGACTTCTTAACAAGGGGCCGGAATACCTTCGCAGACAGATGGAGGCAGGCACCCCAAGCAGGAGGAGTGCTGTAGAAAGACTGGCAGCTGACAAGGCCAAGTATGTAAAAAGTCAGCAGGTAATCAGCACTAAACAGGAACCTGTCGTTGTGCTTAGCTCAGCCTCAGAGAGCAGTAGTGAGAACTGTTCAGTGGAAAGCAAAAAAATCACTAAGGACTTGGGTGGAGGGAAAGACACAAAAAACTTGGGCCTGGCTAACGCTGTATATTCTTGCTGTCCTCCCCTGGAAAACGTCCCCCCCATAGCAAGACGCAGCACGCCCAAGAGGCAGATACGGCCAGATTCCCTCGTGATCTACCGCCAGAAATGTGAGTTTGTGAAAGGGCAAGGCAATGAGAGTACACGAGGGAGCTTGGTGAGGAGGCTGTTCCAAGGACCCATAAAAGAAAAGCAACTGGCTTCTCCTGAGATGCAGACACCCAAAGTAATAAGAGAAGTCACCACACCAGAAAATGAAGAAAATCTCTCTTTACAACATGCTGCTGATAAGCTCAATAACCATGGGACTGAACAAACCGCTCCGGCAAAAACAGAAGTGCCAGCTGAACATGACAGAGAGTATGGGGACACTCCAAAACTGACTGTTGCACCTGATGAGGTCAAGGATGTGAGGAGGAAAGGTCTGCATCGGTCCCAATCGGACATCAGCTCTCGGTACTCCAAGTCCTTTTCTGAGTTTGATACTTTTTTTAAATACTGCGGCCTTGAGCCTGAGGTCATTGAGGATCTGGGGAGAGAGAACTTCTCAGTGGTTTCTGACAATGTGTCCTTCAGGATTCGCAGCATCAGTGTGGCGACATCTGAAAGTGACTTTACAAGGCACAGTGGGGATGATGGGCTGCTGGAGGAAGAACTGACTGAGCAGGTCCCTAGCAGCACCTCAGTGATAGAGCGCAATGCTCGGATAATCAAATGGCTGTACACGTGTAAGAAAGCCAAGGAGACTAACAAGGTGCTCCAAGAGCTTGCCTGAAGACTACTCCTTTCGGCATGCATTCCAGCCTGGTAAACTCAAGGTGTGTGCAAAGCCCAGCCATGTGAATTTCTGTTTATCTATGTTTAAAACATAGGTGATTTACCTGAGTTCATTTCTGTTGTATGAATGGTGACAAGCTGTGTTCTGCTGTTATGCACTACCTAGTTCTGGGGAACAGAGTTCTTGGAAAACAGGAGTCTGGGACTTTATGGAACATGAATGTAGTTATATAGTTGGTTAGGGATGGATCACGCGCGCCCCCCCCCGCCCCAACCAAATAAATGACAAATGCGCAAGGA